GAGCAGACGTACTGTAGAGCAGCACCATGGTTGAAGTGCCGGTGCTCTTGGAGATCTGGGTGGCCACCAAGGCGTACTCCTCGTAGTTGGTCTCCACCACACGAATGTCGTGTTTGCTGCCCCAGCCTGCGGGAAATAGGGAGAGCACTGCTCAGCCCTGGGCACCGAGCCAGCTCTGAGGTGCTCCAACGAGGGCAGGAGCAGGGACGGGCAACAGCCCAGGGGCTGGGCTGGGAGCTGGGGGCACATCAGGGGCTGCCCCACAGAAGGACGGGCTGGGAACCAGGCACTCCCGTGGGCTGCTGTAGGTTGCTCCGTCTTGGTGTAAAGGCTGTTCCTCTTCTCACACTGGTCACCCCTGGGGAGCGCAGCATGAGGATGTCAGGGGGACCGGGGGTGATGCTCCAGACCACACATAGCCCCAGGCACGGCACCATGGGGGAGCAAACCCTGCTCGCCCACGCCCCCCCCACACCCATACTTAGGGTAGGTGGAGGTGACCTCCAGGTTCCCATCTGCAGTGACGGAGATGACCGTGGTGCACATCTTCATCAGATGCTTCTTCTCCTTGAACCAGTTGGAGTTGGAGGCCAGGCCGATGCTGTACCATGTCCCTGTGAGCTGCACACAACCTCTGCTCAGTCGCCAACCGGGCACAGACCCCAGCTCACCCCTTAGCCACCCACCAGCCCCAGCCCAGGCCACCTCCCCCTCCCCTGCCAGCCTGCACCCCACAGCAGGATGGCAACCTGGGGGTCCTCATCCCCCGGGGAGCTGCTACAGCTCTTGGCATCCACAAACCGCAGTGGCCAGGAGATCCCTGGTTTACAATGTCCCCTTCGCTGCCCAGGGGTGTTTCCCTCCTCTTTGCCCCAAGCCCGGGGAGGGGGGTGACAGTTTTTTTTTGAGATGCCATTTCCATCTGTCTGCGGGCATAAGGAGGGGTCAGGACCCCTGGAACCAGCACGGCTCATCCCAGCCCAGTCCCTGGGGCTACCAGCTTAGAGGAGAACTGTTGGCCTTGGAGATGGGCTGTACTGGGACCACCCTTGCAGGACATGTCACATCCCCATCCTTGCAGGACACACCTCCATCCCTATCACCTCCCTGGGGTGGCTGTGTCCCCCAGGACCCCTTCAGAGGTTCCCTGGAGGAACAGGCAGCATGGCCCCTGCTCTGGCTCGGTGGGACCCCAGGGCTGTGGGGCTGGGCCCCCACCCTGGGCTGGGGCTGTCCTGGTCTGGGTCCTGCCCATGATGGGGAGAGGAAGGGGAGTGCAAGCACCCCAAGCATGCCAGCACCCAGGGGCTGGGAGGGCAGAGGGGTCTGTGGGACACCCCAGCACAGCAGCCCTTGTTGTTCTGGGACCCTGGACTGAGGGGGGGAGGGTGTCTGTGTTGGGGAGGGGGGGTCCATGGCCCATGTCCGTGCTGTCTGTCAAACTGAGATTGCTTTTCTCAGCTCCCCCCTATAAAAATCCCTGTGCATCTACACCCACCCCACGGCACAGCAGACAGCCCAGCCCCACACCTACTTGGTCCTGCCCCACGGGCTGGAGCCTGGATCCTGCATCCCCTCCAGAGCCACCAAACCCAAGCCCTGGGGGGGTTCCCCAGGGCTGTGGGGGCCAGCCTGGACCCAAATCCACCTGCAACACCCTTTCCACACATTTTCAAGGTGAGGATCCCCCCCAAAACACCCCAAACCTCCATGTAAGTGATGCCAGCCAGGTTGGGTCACCTTGTCCTGCTGGAAGTCGGTTTGCACGGGAACGGTGTCCTGGGCATGCAGTGCCCCGAGCAGGGTCAGCCCCAGGACCCCGAG